CGAGAGATCCAATTTTTGGCGCAGCGTGTTTTGGGGTTTAAAAGCCACAGAGACCCGGTGTTTAGAAAAAATGCGTCTCAACTGCTCCGATACTCCTGACACGTACGGGATCACTACAGGTTTTCGCTTAGGCAGCGGTTGTCCTTCTCTCCTGGATCGGCTGGAGCTTTCTTTAGGCGCCTTCCCAGCTTTGACAAAAGTCCAGCTGGGATAACCACATTTACTCAGGGCCTTCTTGATGTGATGTTCTTCTGCTTCCCTGGCCGCTGTGTCAGTGGGGATGGTGTTCGCTCTGTGTTGTAGCGTCCTGATGACACCCAGTTTGTGCTCCAGTGGATGATGAGAGTCAAACCTTAAATACTGATCCGTATGTGTAGGTTTACGGTACACGTCAGCTTTTAGATGTCCCCCATTACTGATGGAAATCTCACAGTCTAAGAAGGCTAACCTGCCACTTTTCATATCCTCCCTGGTGAATTTGATGTGTCGGAATCTGGCTTTGACAGTTGCCAGGAGAATGGTACTTGTCTGACTGACACAAACCAAGAGTAAAGTTTGGTGGAGGGGGTATTATGGTTTGGAGCATTTTCAGGAGTTGGGCTCGGTCCCTTAGTTTAAGTGAAAGGAACACTTGTGCTCCCAACAGGGAGATGGCCCTTTCCTGTTTCAACATAACTGCACACCAGTGCGCAAAGCAAGACCCATAAAGTCATGGATGAGCAAGTCCAAGATGGAAGACTTTCTTCCAACCAAATAAAACACCTTTGGGCAGGCCTGGACTGGGAAGAAAAATAAATAAAGTATCAGCCCTATACTTTATTATACACGTCCTGCCAATTGTGAGATACCATTCTGAGATAATCAGCTGGCCAAAGGAGGAAATAGAAGCTACTGACATCAAGACAAGGAAGTTCCTTGCCATGGAGGGTTTCACCCAAAGTTCAGCAACCTCAGGCTAAGCTAAGTGGAAGGAAGGATGCCGCGGACAAATGAGTGTCAGAACAACTATCCAGGATGAAACAACAACAATCCATGAGTACATCAGGAAGAGGTCCACTCTTGCTGCACTTTTCTTGGCTTGTTCTAGCAACAGCTGCCTCTTGTGACTGCAAGGACTTTAGATTAGCTGCTGCTATGGTAAATGGCCTACATTTGTATAGCGCTTTATTATTACTTAGTCTTTAGCGTGCCTAAAGACTAAGTAAAGCGTACTGTAAAGCTCTATCAGTGCTGTAAAGCTCTATCAGTGCCCTGGGGCGCACTGACAGAGGCGAGGCTGCCGGACACTGGCGCCCTCTGACCACCACCAGTAGGCAAACATTGAAGTGTCTTCTTGCCCAAGGCTACGTGGCATGCTGTCGGGGATCAAACCACCGACCTTCTGATTAGTGGCTGACCTGCTCTGCCACCTGAGCTACAGCCACCCCACACTAGTATTACTGTTGACACATTTTGCTGCATCTGTTTTCAAGTTCTTTTTCTTACTTAGCTTTTCAGTCCCACATTTTTATTTATTTTTGTTTGCCCATCTGTATCAACGCTTCTTCCACATTTAATTATGTTCTACAAGGTGGAATATTGTTGACGGACTGGTTGGACTAAGATAATGTTTGGGTAATTTAGTGTCAGTAATAAGAATGAACCAATTGGCTGTCAGTCCAGCAGCCCTTCAAGATGGCCTGTAGCCTGTCTTATATCGACAAAGCGAAGGGTCTCACTGCAGCCACTGTGGAACTCTACAGTAACTGGAAACACATGACCTCAACAGTAACCTGAAACCCATGACTTCCACACTAGGTAGAAACACGTCCAACATATTGCAATACGGGACACAATACAAAAACAAAGGACGTTTCTCAATTCTAAAGTACATGAGTCTGGACTTTAATTCAAACTACAGGTGAACAATAGTCAAAGCCAGATGTTTCCCCGTTATGTCGATATCAGTACACACCTACACAGGATGTCAACAAACCGTGAAAAAAAGCCACAGGATATAAAAAAAATACATGAATGATTGCAGATAAGGGTCTGTATATATTAGTATTTACGAAGGGTATGTTGTGACTTATTACTTACAATTACACTGGTCCCTCGCTATAACGCGGTTCACCTTTTGCAGCGTCGCTGTTTCGCGGATTCTTTTAGTGCAATTTTGCATGCTTTTTTTTTTAAAGCACATTGTGTTCTGCGTCCCGATCGTCTGTAGATCATTGTCGATCTCCTCCGTGCCGTGCCGTGCTCTCCTGTACAGTACAGAATTGCTACATCGATCACTAGCAGCGTGACTCTGAAGTGCTGTACTGCACGTTTGTAAGTTTTCTCCCCAATAAACACAACAATGCCGACGAAACTTTTTGCACCATCAAAGGCACCTGCGGTAGCGTCCAGAAGGCAGAGGAAGATGCTAACCATCACACAAAAAGTTAGACTTCTGGACATGCTAAAGGAAGGTAGCAGTTACCGTATCTTTTAAAAAAAATTTTACCATACGGCCCACCGGATTATAAGGTGCATTAAGCTTAAATTAAGCAATTAAGCTTAAAGTTAAATTCATTAGTTCTAAAATCTGTCATTATTATTTATAGAAAAACAAATATACTGTATGTTTATTTCTCAAATAAATGTTTGGGACTGAAAACAGGTTTTGATCTTTGGTTTCATTCTATAATGGACTTTTTTCTTCTTTTTTTTTACGAAGGTTTGAGCTTTGAGAGTTTAAACAAGAGAGAAAAGTGTGAAACTGTTCTGCCTTTCTGTGAGATTATAATATTATTTTATGCCATGTTATACCCCTAATTAAAGATTGTGAATTATTATGTAGTTTTAGTTTGCATTATTCTCCTGAATTAGAAGAAGGTGATAACTATTGCATTTGTTAAACTGATTTGCATTACATTAGACTGCTGATTTATTGTGAATGAATGATATTGTTTTATGATGCATTATACTGCTGAGTTATAAGAAATACTGTTCGCAGAAAGTCATCGCCTTATTTGTCTGATTAGAAGAGAACAGAACATACTGGAGTTTTCTGCCCCATCCCTCAGCAGGAGCAGATAAACAGGGAGCCAAGGTCGTAGCTTAGGCGCCGTGTGAGAGAAAGAATGTGAATGTTTAGGCTTTTATGATTAGGTGGGGGCCACTAGAGGCTATAAGAGTTTGAGCAATGCTCCACCATTTTGAGATCTGATGCTGTCTGCGTACGGTGTCCATCTCCCACACGTGTGATCATTAAAATCATCGTTTGACTCAACCCGGCCGGACCAGTGTTGTTATTTTGGTTTTTCCTCTTGTATCCATCCCCAATATTTGAATCCGTAACAGTGTGTAGTGATGGGTTTTACAGCCTTACAACATTTAAAAAAAAAAATTGTAAAAAATAAAGCTGGCTACTTCGCAGATTTCACCTATCGCTGGTTATTTTTAGAACAACACCCGCGATAAATGAGGGAACTCTATATACAAATACTAAGAAATTTCAATCTCTTCTCTCTTTTGCTCTGAGGCGCGAGGGAAAAATATCAACAAGTCGATGAACATCATCTACAGATATATTCAGTAAATGCCCAAGACACCTTGAGAAATGTAAATCGCCGCTTGGCTTGTTTTGGAAAACCCGAAAATAAACAAGATGCGAATATCACACCGGAAACGAAGCGCCCTACAGGAGTTTCCCCAACGGAAGTAGCATATGCTAAGGTGCACATAGTCTATTAGAACAGCAGCATACTAGATGACATCACCGTTCCGGAGTTTTTACTGCCATCCCCTCTTAATTTAACTGTGATTAATATTTACAATGGAAATTACACATTATGTTTTTGATCTTCTCTCTTTTTTTGTTTTTTAAAGATAATTTTTAAAAAGTATCTTAAGCACTCTGGCAAAATTCGCTTTTATGTATGATCTGTTCCATAATGTCTAAAGAGCTTCATGCAGTTAAGCACAATTACTGCATGTATGAAAACACAAGCTTAATCTCTCTATTAATAAAAATAGTATACATGTATGCCTGAATAATAAGAAAGAGGTGAGATGTTAGAACACTTTTATATTTATTTTAATAGACACTGACCCTTACAATAGACAGCTGAGGTTTGGAAGAGAATTGAACAAATATTTAAAATATAATCGGATCATTTTTGGAGCAGCCGTCAGGATCTCCACGCATTAACATGTTGTTTTTGCTCCCAGTGAAAATGTTTCCTCTTGAATTTAAATATTTTTAATGTTATATTTAATTCAGAGTCAGCTGTTTAAAAAAGAACAGAACATTTTACATCAGGCGGTATAACAGGTGAAATTTAAAGTATACTGACAGCTCTACAAGTAAGACTTCAGTATTAAATAAAACAGTCCAGTTATGAAGCTTAATCTGAGCCAAACTGATTAGCTCAGGAACAAATGAAACACTGACAAAAAACAAACAATAACATTTTTAAATGATCTAATTGACTTAAATATCATGTTTAACTTGAGTAGCGAAAGACCACAGGGGGGGTTTGAAAATGATGTCCGCTATTGTCGCCCGGTCTAGTGAGCCTTGACCTCCCAGGTCAGCTATCAAGCTGATGGGTAACAGACGTCTCCGAAAACGTCGTCCCACTTTGGCAAATGTGTGATGTCTTGATAAATCGAGCAGATATTTGAAGTTTACAAAGCTACATTCTCACCTGATGTCCTAAAAGTTTATTTTGTGACCCAGAAAGAGTAATATTTCAAACTTTTTATATGTATTGTGTACACACAAGCGCACATATTGAGACACGGCTTGTGCAACGTAACTGTGTTCAAATTTGAAGTCACATGTTTCCGGTTACTGTGGAGCTCCGCAATTTTTTTTGTTTGTTTGTTTTTTATTAATTAAACAAATGTAACAAGTACAACAAATATGGCAACATTTTAGAGACTTTTTCCAACTTGAGATAATACCAGAACAGCCTGTATTTCAAAATATAAAAGACAGATAATGAAAATAATATAAACATAAGTAACTAAAGAAATAAATAAGTAAAATTAATAAAAATTAAATTGAAAATTAAAAGACAAAAAATACAATTATAACCTAGGGGTTTTCTAAAAGCTTTAGTTCATTGACCATGTGATGCAGATCCACAGCTTGTTTTTTGTCCATAAACTTTGCAGATGAGAAGAAGAGGCAGAGTTCTTCGTGAAAAGTGAAAAAGGATGGCTTAGTTTTCAGAAATCGACATTTATGAATGAACCCATAATAATTATCACATTTAAGACATTTTCAAGTTTCTTTTCTTTTCTTTGAGATTCAAAAATAATATCATTTTTAGAAAATTCAAGTAAGTTTGGAATCTTTGGGAAAAGCCAGTAGTGCACATCGTCCCACGGGGCTTTACAGTATATACATTCGTAAAATAAAAGTTCTGTCGAATCAATATTCGCATTACAGAAAGAACAAGACTTATTATCAATAGGAAAACGATGTCTGAGAAATTCTTTGGAACGGTAAACGCCTGGGAGTATTTCATAATGGACCTCCTTAGCTTTTGGAGGAATGGGAAGTTTTAGGTAATTTGCTCTGATTTCTTTCTTTTGATCACAGGAGAACGGTTGTGAAATGGAATTTGGATTTGATCTATATGGGGGGAAAGCATTAGTGAATAATTCCTTAAGTTTTTTAGACTGTTAGCTCCACAGTGGCTGCAGCCAGGTGCTCTTGGTCGACAAAGGGTCATGGGTCATGTGACTTGAGTGTTTTGAACCACGTGCATCTCGGTGTAGCGTTTCGACATACCTTGGCTCAGCAAGACGTGGAAAGGTTAATTCTGAATAAGGTGTACGGAACAAAGTACATCTGCACAGCAAACATTAACTGCGTCTTTATCCATTTATTAGCGCTCTACAAGTTTGACATACAAAAACTACATTAACGTTTAGAGTTACAGCCATCAGCTAGTTCCACGTTGAGCACATTATATATAAAAGAAAGTTACTTTAAGCACGTTTTACTGGCAGGTTTACCTTTTCGGAGGAATCTGTCAAATTCATGCAGCGCAGTGGTGTTGCTTTCTGTATTTGAGAATGACACGGTGGGGATGCGGATTGCCTCTGGACAAATGGAGACAAATTGTTACCAAACAGAAGTGTCTCTACCTCCATCTACATCCACTACAACACGACTCCGAATACCTTTAAAATTTGCTAGGAGCTCCTCTCTCTGATGGTGGTCAATGACGAGCGATTTGTTATTCGTCTTTTCCCAGTGTGCGAGTTGAAGTCCGGCGT